CCAAAACCTTGAACATATTGCTTGTTGACTCAACTAGAGAAATTTCTTCTTGAATATAGGCGTTATAACAAGCACCCATTCTTTCAAGAATTTCAAAAATTTGATATTCGGTTAAACCATCTATATTCTAGATAGTTATACCTGTACAAAAGAATGTTGTAGGAATTTTGGTCTTTTGTTCGAAAAGTAAATCTGGAGGAGTATTTTTTGGATAATAAGTTGGAACTTTTGAAAATTGAACTTTTCTAGTTTGAAGCTTCTTGATTTGAGGAACTTCATTATCAATAAATTGAGATTCAATATCATCAATATTATTGTTATTATTTGAAATAGAGGATGATGATATTTTTGATAACTAAGTAGCAAGTTCTTTAAGAATATTAATCTCAGTTTTGAGACCTTTTCTAGGTTTAGCCTCATGCCGATTAATTAAAACTGACTCTATTTGGTTAATACCTTTTGAAGAGGATGATGTCTCAGGTTTAGAATTTATTTCAATTCTGTTAAGCTGAGAACAAATAGATTGAAGAACTACATTATTGTAGTTATTTTGAGCTTGAATGTTTTTGATATCTTTAACAACAACTTGAAATTTCTCAGGTCGTTCTTCAAATGTCCTTTTGAAAGGAGATACAAGAACTTTAGTGCTTCCATGTGGAATTACAATCTCTTGTAAAAGAGGATGAGAAGATTGAATATTCTCACTAGAAGGAGTTTTCCAAGTCTTCTGTGAAATATTTGAAGTTTGAATATAATTTTTCTTCTTTGATTTTGAAGAAACCTTTGAAAAAGTAGGTTTTTTTTAAAGTTTGAAATAAGTCAATTCATAAAAACTTAAATCTTCCAGGAATTCATAAAATTCTTTCCAATAAGATTCTCATTCTTCTTTTGAAAAACTTTGATGAAATATTTTTTGAAAAGTTTTAATATCAGGAGTTTTATCAGTTTTTAATTCATTTCTTCTGTCAATACTTGAAGAAATAACATTTATTTGATGATCAAGTCTTTCATTTTGAGAAAGCATATTAGAAAAAGTTGGAGATTTAGCTTGTTCTGATTCTTCTTCTTTTTCTGCTTCTTTTTCATTAGATTGAGGTTTTGGAATATCTGGAGTTAAATCAATACCTAAAAAAGAAGATGTTGAAAATCTAGCTTATTTATAAGAAGATCTGGGTTTATCTTTAGATCTAGAAGAATAAGATCTTTGAAACCTAGAGGAAGATCCTTTGAAATTTATTTTGACGTTTCCATTTGGAAAAATAAGAATTTGATTTGGAATTGTTTGAATAGGAGCAGGAATATGATTTTGAACATTTTCAAAATTTCATTCTAGTCCACGAGTTTGAAGATTCCAAGGAATTCTCTTGGGAGTCATAGTATTTGAATGAAAAGGATTACATTCAACAAAAAGACTTTCATCTTTAGGAGATGAACGTAAAACTCCAATATTGAGTTGAGTATTCTTAAGCTTGTAATATATCATGTATATTACAGCAAAAGCATTTGAACAATTATCAAAATCGAAATTTTTAGTTTGAATATGGAGATTTAGAGCATTAAGAATAGCTCTATCATTTAGATTAATTGAAAAACTTGGATAACAATTTGAATAAATTGGACCACTTTCTAGATTTGACTCTAGAACAGATAGTAATGAATTTTCAAATTTGAGGAGTCTCTTATCTCGAAGAGTTAAGAAAATAGGAATGTCTAACCCAAGTCTAAACAAAGGTTTAATAGCAATTTGAACTAATCCAATATGAAGATATTTGAATTTCTTCCTGTGGGATTTAATATATTCTTTTGAAAATAAATTGATGTGTGCATTTTGATTTTTAATTGATAATGTTTGTTCAAAAGTTTTGATAACATAATTTTAAGTAAAATCAAACTTTCCAATTTCATAGATAGAATTCTTTTCTACCTTTGAAATTGTCCAATTATGCAATCTTTGTTCTATTTAATCAATTTGAAGTTCATGACTATTGAAATCGTTTGATGTATATGATGCAGATGATTGATCAATTTCTTCTTCATCTTGAAAAACATTTGAAATATTTTCAAATCTATTTCTAGACCTTTGAAACCAATTTGAAAAAGAGGATATAATTAAATTCAATGAAATTATAACAATTTACCACAATAAAAACAGTTAAATAAGATAGATTGATTCTTGTCAAGCCTACAAAAGGGACCACCCTAACACGCCTTCCTCGATTAACAACGGGTTGACCAACGTCTATACAGTAGAGATTTCGGAGTCAAATCAAGTTCTCCTATTTGAACAGTGCCTATAGTGATAAACTACTATATATATATATATATATATATGTTTCAAAAGTAATGAAAAAGATTAACTAAATTCTTCATTGCTAAATTGTCTAGTGGCTGAGGAGGAACGCTCATTTAAAATGTCGGTTCATAGTTATATCTAATAAGTTCATTTTACACACTTATTTTGACCACAAAACATGGATAAATGTTGATAAATATGTTGAAATCTTTCTTAATTCTCTATAAATTATATTTTGTAGAACAACATCAATGAGTATGATGGAACCTAGGAAAAAAGCGAAAAATGACCAAAATAAAAGAAAACCAAAGATGAGGGACCAAAGTTCAAATAGTCAAAAGTTTATTCGGAAGCAGAAACGGGAATGTGAAAGAGTTAAGGACCAATTTGGTGAAGACGTGAAGTGTTGGAAGAAGAAAAGAGGAGAAAAGAGGTCAAGAGACAAGAAAACGGAGTCGGGGACTAAATTGCAACTTTTTGAAGATAAACACTACTATGCGATTGCATAGTAGAAATTCCTATGCGGTTGCATGCTGATTTTCAGCAACGTTTAGGAATGATTTTCATTGAACGATGCTATAGCATTGATTTGTACTATGCTATATCCGGCAAGAAAAATTTGGTTTCCTTATTTGATTAAAATTCTTATGAAAACCAATCTTGGAACATCTTTTAAAGCCGTAGGTTGCATTTCAACATATTTTTAAGGATTTTTAAGTGAAGAAGGAGGAAGGAACATGAAAATTAATTGGAAGATCTGAAGATTCAATTGAAGATTTAAATCGGTAATGTCGTTTCTTCAATACGCTTTGTATTTTCTTCTTCCCAACATGTTTAGTTAGATTTGTCTGTACTAGGAGAATGAAGAAGCATGTAGTATGAGTTTTTAATCCTCAGTTTTACATGTTTGACATTAAAAACACGTTTTTGATACTAAATTTTTTTCATCATGATTATTGAGCACTGTAATTATGTGAATATAGTGGCTTATTTTTATGCATTCGAAAGAAGAAAAATAAGGTTGGCATGATGTAAATTATCATAGGATCCGAAGGGGATAAAAATATACCGCTATGCCTTATATGAATCTTTAAATGTTTATAAAAATTCATGCATTTTTATATGTTCACATCTGTCATATAGATATAGTTGAGTTATATATAAGAATAGGTTTTACATTACTCGAAAGAGATTATTGAATAAAATAGGAACATTGATTCGTGAAAATTTAATCGTGTTGTCAAAGTGTAAAACTAAGTTTCAAGGGGAATTTAGGATTCGAAATCCTAGTACGTTTATCATTCATTATAAAACTTCAACTAGCATTCAACACAATGTATATTTAGTTTAGTTAATTCATTTAAATTTGCATATGTAAGTTAGTTTAATTATAATTTTCATCACAACAAACTCTCGCATTTTTATTGTTTAGGTTAAGGTCAAAGTAATAGAAATTGAAGTAAATCAATCTCCGTGGGACGATATTTGGACTAAAAATTCACTTTATCACTTGTTAACGAACCATACACTTACTATGATCTTAAATCAGAATATATTTTCTAGAACAATATCATAGAGTCAAATGGTTTGTTAAGAAGAAAAATGAGTATTAAGTTGGAGAATGGTAGCTAAAGCACAAGACCGCTGATTCGAAGAAGTCAAAGAAAGAAATTTTGGTTTAAACAATTTGTGTTAAATTTTAGAATCAAACCACTTAAACTCCTAGGTGTAACATAAATAAAAAAATCGGACTTTGGAGACCATTTTTTGACACTCACAATATGATCCGCGAACCTAACCCACTGTATACGCAGCATAGAGCGACGCGCAATCATGAAAGGTTCATATAAAGCTAGCGAGCCTTTTTTGCATCCAAGTTGGCTATCAGTAAAACACACGTAATTGAATAATAAAAGCGTGATACTTCTAATAGAATTGGTTATCGGCTAACCAATAAAGAACCATCATCTGTCATTTTTCTAAATAACCGAATTACTCCAAAGTTTAGAGGAAAATCTATATATACTTTCTCCTTCGAAGAGAAACCAAACAAGGGCTAATTTATATGTACGCATATAAATGTAAATGTAGTTGGTTCCACAATTTCACATAATCTAAAGTAACGTTGCGTATGTTGACCACCGATATCCCATGACTCCAAGGAGTAATTTGGACACAATGACGAAAACGACATGCCAACTTTTATAAAACGCAATTACCTTCTTAATGGTAAATATTGCATTGACGGGCCCGCACAATTCAAATCCCTACAAGACCGAGACTTAGCTTAAAAGGGGAATGAATCTCACCTTTGACCGTGAGGAATACTCCAATTTTATGACATGTCAAGCATTGATTTCTTTTCCCAATAAATTAGAGTTTCCTCACTTTCATACACTCACAAGCTAACATAAACTTTGTGATTTATATTTATATTTTTTCCTAAATGTATAAGTTGATATAAATGACTGTGAATAAATAAATAATATTTATGGATACTATGAAATATATGATTAAAATCTTTAATTGATTTTGAAAATGAACTTTTTTTAAATTTTCTTTTTTAGCAAAACCAAATCGCTATGCTTCATGCCTGTATTATTTTGCACACTTACCGGCCACTTACTCCATCAGGAAATGGTCAATCCATGATCTTCTGCAATACGTTAACAAAGAAAAATATTGATAAAGAAAGAATTTAATGATTCAATCGATATTTATTTACTTTGCCCATGAGGGTGGATTATTCTCCCAAATCGTTGTCCTTTTCCTTTATGTAGTATGAAAGGCCAAAAGAAGGCTCATTCTGAAACATCGGTAAAAGAAAAACATTTTAAATTTAGTAGTCTTGTTTAGTTCGTTGTTGATATAGGGAACTTACTTCCAATGATAAAGCAACTTCAACAAAAATAGTGTTTTAATTCTTTCAACTTTTCACATGGCCTTTGCAGTTTCAAGTAAAATTATTTTTTTCCTGTTCTTGTTTCTGTTTGTACTCTCAGCCACAGCCCAGCGGTATGTTACTTCGGGTTCATCAATAACTGCAAACAAAACAAATTCCGCTTGGGAGTCATCTTCTGGAGAATTTGCTTTTGGCTTCCGGCAGATCATTCCAGGAGGTTACTTACTGGCCATCTGGTTCAACAGAATACCTGAAAGAACCATTGTTTGGTCTGCCAATCGTGATAATCTTGTCCAAGAGGGATCAAAAGTTCAACTTGCGGATGGAAGGTTTGACCTGCGTGATCCTAGAGGCCAGCAGATGTGGGCTGCACCTGTGTCTCTTGATCGAGTGGCCTATGGAGCCATGCTTGACACTGGTAATTTTGTGTTAGCGAACAACAGTTCTGCCTTTTTGTGGCAGAGTTTTGAAAATCCAACGGACACATTATTACCAACACAGAGACTTGATAGAGGTGTTGTACTTGTTTCCAGCTTTTCTGAAACAAATTATTCAAAAGGGAGATTCCTCTTCAATTTACAAAATGATGGAAATCTTGTGTCTGCCACCAGAAATTTCCCCATGGACGGCCCGAATTTTGCTTATTGGTCAGCACAAACTAATGGCAGTGGCTCCCAGTTGATCTTCAACCAGTCTGGCTACATCTTTCTGGCAGCAGAAAATGGAACTGTACTCAATTTTGTGTCTCAAAGTGAGGCCTTGTCTAGTCAGCTTTACCAGAGAGCAATTCTGGAATATGATGGGGTTCTAAGGCATTATGTCTACCCTAAGTCCGCTAATTCTTCAGGTGGGAGAGAGATGGCATGGTCTACTGTGGAATTCATACCTGTGAATATATGCGCGAGCATGGCTGACGCAAAGTTAGGATTTGGTGCTTGTGGTTTAAATAGTGTATGCTCATGGGGATCTGATAATATACCACAGTGTAAATGCCCTCCTGGTTACTCTATCATAGATCTAAATGACAGGATGAGTGGTTGCAAACCAAATTTCGTTGCACAAAATTGCGATGAAGGGGCACTTGAAACTGACCATTTTAGTTTCATCGACATGCCCAACACACATTGGCCTTATGCTGCTTACGGACAGTTTTCGCCAATCCCAGAAGATTTGTGTCGAGAATATTGCCTCAATGATTGTTTTTGTAATATTGCGGTTTACAGAGATGGTTACTGTTGGAAGTTGCAACATCCTCTCATCAACGGGAGGACAGGTCCTAGGGAGGAGGGGCTTGGGTTAACGAAAGCTATGATAAAAGTAAGGAATAACAATGCAACTGCATACTCCTCTGTTTTTAAGAAGTGTAAGAGTTCCCCTCTGATCATCATCGGATCAGTTTTCTTAGGCAGTTCCATGTTCCTACTTTCATCCCTCTTGTTGTATTTTTTCTGTTTCAGTCGACAAAAATCAAAGAGCCTTCAACCATTTCAAGATCTTCCAGGCCTGAACATAAGAAGGTTCAGTTTCAAAGAGCTACAAGTAGCAACAAATGGATTCAAGGAGGAATTGGGCAGGGGCGCTTGTTCAACAGTATACAAAGGGATTCTTAAGAATGACAATATTGAAGCCGTAATTGCAGTGAAAAAGCTTCATAAGATGGCAACAGAAGGCGAACAAGAATTTAAAGCGGAAGTAAACTCAATCAGCAGTACTAATCACAAAAATCTAGTTCAACTGCTGGGGTATTGTGAAGAAGGTCAAAACTGGGTTTTCGTATATGAATTCATGAGCAATGGTTCTTTAGCAAAATTGCTATTTGAAAATTCAAGGCCCAGCTGGTACAAAAGAATACAAATCGCATTTGCAACTGCTAGAGGTATTTGCTATTTGCACGAAGAGTGTAAAAATCAAATCATACACTGTGACATTAAGCCTCAAAACGTACTCTTAGATGACTCCTTCACAGCAAAAATATCGGACTTTGGATTAGCCAAGCTTTTGAAGCCAGATCAATCTAAAACTACCACCGGAATAAGGGGAACAAAAGGTTATGTTGCTCCAGAATGGTTCAAAAACATGCCGATTACAGTCAAGGTTGACGTTTACAGCTTTGGAATCTTGTTGCTCGAGCTTATCTGCTGCAGAAGAAATTATGAACCAGAAGTAGAGGTTGAGAACGAAATGATACTTGCTGATTTTGCTTATGATTGTTACAAGGAAGGAACAATGCATTTGCTAGTGGCAGACGATGAGGAGGCATTAGGCGACAAGCGATTTGACAAGTTTGTGATGATCGCGATTTGGTGCATTCAGGAAGAACCAACATTAAGGCCTACCATGAAGAGAGTAATGCAACTTATGGAAGGATCCGTTGAAGTCCCCATTCCTCCAGATCCCACCTCCTTTATCACTTCAGTTTAGATTCACATTTTTGTCCCAATGTATGATAATAATTTGTATGATCTTCGTATTAGCATCTGTGTTCAAGTCACTCGTTTTTATTCTATTAAATTTAATGTAATAATGTACCTTAAACTTTCTTTCTGTGTTGTAGTACCTTAAACTTTCTATGTTGTACTCAATCAACTTCCTCGTTATTGTAAAAGCAGTTCAAACGGTGAGAATGTAACTTTTTCTATTCATACTTCTCCTTGCCTTATCGAGATGATTTATATAATTCATGGCTCAACAAAATTAATTGAGAAAGTTAGTAAGCCTGTAGTCATTTTACCAACACAGGTCAACCTGCCTCTGATTACGAGGATTTTGAACAAGTCACAGAAGACTGGTGTCTACAGATTTGCCTGAATGATTGCAACTCTCTCTCTCTCTCTCTCTCTCTCTCTCTCTCTCAGTAAGCCAAACCCATTTCCATGTAAGGCCCGAAATATACATATCCTAATTCATATGCAAATCAATGCCTTCCATTGAATGATTACCTATGTTGATTGCATAACTCATAAACTGTTTTTTTTAACGTTTATTGAGCCATATGTTGATTATCGTAATGTCTTAGACCTGTTTCGAATCTCTCAAAAATAAAATAAGCAACATATTATCTAAATAGTGATCAAACATTCAAATAATCTATAAGCATGCAATATCAATCAATTACATAAACCAACTTAGACGGTCTTTGAATTAGAACGGTAAATAATGGCTTATGTCTTCCTAACACTAACAAGTTTAGGCGAACATCTCTATGGTGGCATTATATAAAAGTTATGGAAATTCATCACCCTGAACATACAAGTTCGTGAAAGAGATATAGAATCAATTTCTTTCTAAAGATCTTCAATTTCAAACTTGAATCTTCAAACTCTTGATGTAATTAGCTTTGAATCTCTTCCAAGCCTAGCTCTCCATATTTTAGAATGAAGAATGTCCAAGTTAGAGGCCCAAATAGATTAAATCGTTGGCCAGATTGCTTTTCAAAACTTGGATGACATAAGATGAGAAACATAATTTTTGCCTGAATTTTGTTACATGAACGCATGGCAGAATGTGTTGAAGTTCTGCTTTTGCCAAAAAAGCCCTCGCGATCACTTTATTTTTGAGCAAAATATTGATCTCGAAGTTGCTCAAAATTAAAACCATATCCCAAAAAAACTTCACATGAAAGAAATATATTAACTTTTGCAAAATACTATGAAAAAATAGATTCAAAAATCGAGTACAAAGAAGAAACCCTTTATCAGTATAAGTATTCAGAGACTTAATATAAACAGATACAAACAAGTATTAATATGATTTTTCTTCTTCTACATGACTCTTTTTCACTCTTTTTCTTTTGATATTTTTAATTTTTAGCTCACTTTGTCATCGATAGTGTCAACGACATGCCGCCTCTTCATACTATTTCTTCTCTCCACTTTATGGTATTTAGCACCTCTCAATACTGATTTTTTTAATTTTCGAAAATTCCCGAATGAAGGCTGTTTCTTTCGACACTTTTACCTCATTCTTCCTTGACTGGTGCAATAGCTATATTGAGATGAATAATTGGGATTTGACTTCCCATGAATGGTTCATATTTTGGATCAACTTGGTAGCCAAAGATATTCACACAATTGTTTTCATCCATGGAGTCAACACCTATCTAAATAGTTTTTAACACCGATTTAATGACCCCCAAATTATCCTTTCAAATGGACCATGATTGCTGTTATATGGTTTTGATTTCGGTCACCCTACATTCAAGCTTTTTCAACCTACTCTATTTGAGTAATGACTTCAAAGATGTTAGGTGATTAATATAACTATCATACTCAAAGTATATAAAATTCTAACAAGAATAAGTTTCAAAACAATCCAAGTTAACGTATTTGAAATTGATGGAGCATAATTGATTTCAATTATATCATCATTAACCAACAAGGTCATCCAACTCACTTAAGCACGTAAAGCAATAAAATATTTTTTGAAATTTTTGAAAAATTTCAGTTTCTATATTTTTGGCATATATACAGCTGTAACATCAATCAAACACAAAATAATCGGATAATATCAATAATCATATATGGATATTCTTGAACTTAAACTATACATTACCTCAATGTGTACAATTACAAAGCACAAGGCAAGTAAAATAACAATAGAGCGATGTAAAGACTCGTCAGGAGGTGATTTGGATGGAGAATGCAAGATTGTTTAAATCATTCCATTCCAATTCTTACATGCAATTTGAATGTCACTGTACCTTCAATTTAGGATTAGAATCATGAATATTAGAGGCACACAAAAGATATAAGTTGAATTTATACCGTGAAGCACAACAAACACCAAACAGATAACGAATTGCAAGAATGGATGTGGTTGGATAATGAATGTTTTTGGCCTAATCAAAATATGACGACTCTTTTATGATAAACTTTAAACAAAACTTGTCTAATATCTAAATGCAAACCTATAAACTACATGCAATGTAAATACCTAAAGTACAATGAATAAAAAGGTCAAAACTTGCGCCCCCCCCAACCAAAAAAAATTAAGCGCTTAGTTTATAATCTTTAACTTGAATTTGTGAAGTGATGACTCATGGTGGTTCAAACCGGACTTCATTGAGCTAGCATAGAACATAAAGTTTGACATTGCCGAATTCCTTCTCAATTTTCCAAACTTGTAAACCACATTTTTCATCCTTGGGTTTTCCCATAATTATAACTATTCCTTTCTTTTATGGACAATTCTTGTGATCATATTCAAGTCTCCTTTTTCAAATTTCCGCCTTCCTCAACATGATATGGTTTCTTGATCATGGCATAACATAGAATTTTTCTTTCTCATCTTCTGTCCTCAAAATATCTCACTTGCCTAAAAATTCCATTAAAGCTTGGCTCATTGATAGGGATGATAATCACAAAGTGGTATATTCCGGTATTCTTTTATGTCTAAGAAGATAAAGTCTATCGAAAAATGTGAACTTGCCCAATTTAATGAGCTCTTTCTTAATGACGCCTAAAGGTTACTTGATTGATCTATATGTCAATTGAAGAGAGATTGTTATGTCTTTTAGTTCTTCAAAACCTAATTTTCTATAAGGATAATTGCAGTTACGATCCCAAACCTTTCTTTTTTTTCACAAACTTTATCCAAATACTTCATTTATATCATCCATAGTTCCAAATTTTTAAAATAGTTACATCACAAGGACAAAATGGATGATTTTCATCCATATTCTTTTAGTTGATCAAGGAGAGTAAATTTGACCACATTTTGATAATTTAATGATGGAAAAATACTAGCTTTATATTTTCTACGTAAATAATTAATTAAAAATAAAATACCGAAAAAAAGAAGAAGAAAAGATATAAGAAATTATTCATCTTCTTTCCGAAACCCCCGCCCCAACCAAATCCACCGACTTGTCGTTGCCACCACCACCAACTGCCACCTTAGCTGCCACCACCTCAATGCTACATCAAAATGTCCCAAAATTTTCTTTGCAAATTCACGTGAATTTCACAAAGAAATTCTATGTTTGTGTCTCGGTACAATCTTCAAATTTTATTTTCCAAACAAAATCAAAACCACAAAACCCACTGACCATCACTCTCCCACCCACACGACGCTGAACAAGATTGACAATCTTCCTTAGTCATTCTCCCTACTGTTCTCCATTAAAATAGAGAAAATAAATTTTGGGTAGTTTATTTACCATCCCCAATTTACCCTTATTAGAGTTGTTCCCAAGTTGTATTCTACTCTTTTAACTGATTAGCCCACTAGCAGACTAATTTGTCTGGGATCCAGCTATCGACTTCTCTTTTTATTTTCCTCTTTGCTTAATATTTTAAACACTTCACTCAATCCTTCCACTTCTCTGTCCAACTTCTTTAAATGTTCTTCCATCACTTTAGCCCTCATATCCATGCCCAGTGATCTTATTTCTTGATGCCGGTTATGATTTGAGATTATGGTTGTCCAACTGGGTAAGATTATTTGTGTTGTTTACGATTGTAGTCTTTAAATTGGTTGAGATGGTTTGTGTTATTGCTTGAGATGTTGGGATAGATTATACAGTGGTGGCAATGGGTGGGTGGTGGCATGATTGTGGTAGGTTTTATGGGTTTTGGTTTAGTGGGTGCTGGTGCTAGTTGCAATGGGGCTGGGATGAGAAGAAGATAAATTTATTTTTTTGTCATCTTTTATCTTTTTTGATTTAATTATTTTAATTTAATTGATTTTTATGGAAAATACAAAGTTACTATTTTGCCCCTTTGAAATTAGTGAAAATTACAACCGTATTCTTAAACCTTTTTTTTTGCAGACTTTACCTCAATATTTAGTTTGTGTTACCACAGCCCCCAAACCTTTGAGAAATTCGTAAATACAGTCCAAAATGACTAAAAATATTAGTTCTACCGTCAGTTGACCTCAAAATGAATAAAGACAAATTTTGACCAATTTAAATAGGGGCATTTTCTTCGATTTTATTTTTTCCTTTTAAAAATCATTTGGTCAGTTAATATCACTCCCTCACCATTCTTTTTAATGGTACAACCAAAATATTCATCTTCTACAATATCTATCGATCGATCAATCACAAGATATTGCATGTCACATACGAGGCCGTCTTCTCGAACATGTATATGGTAAGTTTTTAAATTCTTTCAAAAAATTTTGGTTGATGACATGTTTTCCTCACAGTAGGTTGCACAGTGAGGTCATGTACTGCATATTTCCATCATTTTAAGCATGTTATTGAGTTGGAATGGCATAAAATTTGTAATATTTATTCGTGCTGCTTTTACATTCCATTCATTGAGCAAGGATTTGGTGGTGATAATGGTTTGTTATGATTTTTTTTATTCCAGATGAAAATTCAAGTTATTTCACCGGAAAGCTACATTATGGCAGTGTATTACTCACAAATATGTGAAATTTTGTCTACAAAAATGAAAAGATAGCCTGACTAGTCTACATGTAAACTAATTAGTTTAATAGATTTCTATTGGACAATGCTATGAAGATGTTAGGCTCTTTTGAGAAAATGAGATTTTTGTATAAAATTGAAAATAAGAGATTGAGTGGGACAACGTTGTGGTTGGTGAAAGATGCTGACTTTATGATTATAGTTAGATTGCTTGGTTAGAACAGGCTTGCTGAGATGTGGTGTGTTTCGTAGTTGAAGTGTTTGAATTGCCATGGGACGACAAAGTAGGGTATGATATTTTAGTGGTTGATGTTGACATTGGTGGGGGTATTGGAGGAGGTGGAAGAAACGAAGTAGATGTTGATAAAGAGTTTGAGAATAATGTACGCTACGCAATGGAGGTTTATGATGATTTTCTAGAGGGTGACGACTTGTATATTGTGGATGAGGTTGAAAGTAATGGTGCAACTGAAGAAATAGAAGTGGATACAGCGAATTCTATTGATGTTCCTGCGGGCAATGATAATATGGGAAACCCTAGAGGGAGTGAAGCTCATGTAAAAGCAGACACAAATGAGGATCAAATGGTTGATCAACCTATGGTGGACTTCCATGACTATAATGAGGCACTTGCTACAGAGCACAATAAAGAGACACCTACTGCTAATCACAATGAAGAAGCACCTGATGCAGATCATAATGAGTCATCTGTTTCATATTAAAAAAAGTCATATGCTGTAGTATAACTGACGCCACCTGCTGCATATCAAAATTACATCTCTGTTGATGCATCTCCTGTTGATGAAGTCCCTGCGGCTTCATCCCATGTTAAGACATCACCTGCAGATGCGCCCCCTATCTATGCACTACCTAATGATGCACCTCTTGTTGATGAAAATGTGAACCATACTGACACTAGAGAAGGAAATGGTGAATTTGAATTTGAGAAAAGCCTAATGGAGGAGTTCAGTGATCTTGATTATAAGCAGGATGAAGATGTGCCTGTAGATGATCATGATGAAGATACTTTCTTCAAGTTGTCTGAGGGTTCTAATATTGATTATGGAAATTTGAGGGCGAAACATGAAGGTGCATTAGGGCATCTAGATAGTAATAGAAAAAGACTATGATGAGTCAAATGATTTTAAAAGCATTTCAAGTGATATTGAAGAAGTTAGTGGCTCTTCAAGAGCCAGGAATGAGTTTGGTTTAATTCTGCTACAGACATACAAGATCGAAATTTCCTTATATATATATATATTTTATTTTATTTTTTAAATTTTCTTAATTTTTTGTTATCATTATTATTATTATTTTTTTGTTTGTTCATATCATTTAAACTAAATTGCTTGAATCCAAATAGGACTGAGCCTTAGTTTAATTCTGCAGGCATGAAGTTTGACAACATAAATACATTAAGGGATGCAATTAAACAGCATTCAATTAAAAATGCAAGGTAAGTCAGATATGTAAAGAATGAAAGAACAAGACTAAAAGTCAAATGTCAAGATAACTGTCCATTGGAGTTGTATGTCTACCAACGACCAGACAAGAGTTTCAGGATTAACATATTTAGAGATAAACATACATGCACAATGATTTGATGGAATAGAATAGTGCATGCTAGTTACTTGGTAAAAAAACATATGAGAAAGTTCAAATATCAT